AAATAAAACGTCTAGAACCAGAACATTTGCAACTTTCTGCAAATTACTCGCCGACAGTTATCTCGTCGTATCAAGATAGAAGATTTTGTCCTTATGAATGTGGGTGAAAACCGACTTATAATTGAACCACACTATTTAATTGAGCAAATGTTGAAAATGAACTTTAGAAATGTTAATAATATTCACGATTCGCCTTAATTTAAGTATCGTTTCAGTCTCGCAGGAATGCGTTTTCATAGAACTATGATCGGCGAAGAACTGCAACTAATCTGTTATTAAAGGTATTTAAGCCGTGAGTTGGCATAAAATGAGACGGAATGGATTTGTATAAATCAGGTGAACTGAATTAGAAGAAAGAAAATGAGCAAAAATCACAATATTCAAATAAAACTTCATTTTATAAACTCTAAGACAAGTCGAGAAACTTGAAGCTGGACGAGACGAGTTCTATTTTAATTTAAGTAGGTTTCTCCTGTCCATCGACGAACAAATAGACTTGAATACCTACGCTGACCACGTGGCCAGGTGTGACAATATGAAGAGCCCACGTTAAAAAGCCACTTTCACTCAAAAATAAACACTACATTTTTAGTAAATTAACACTCAAACAATATCTGTGCATGTTTCTGCTTGAAAAAGTATTTTTTATTTGTTTAAACTTCTTTGGTGTTAAACTGGTTATAAAAAACAGGGCAACAAAAGTAAACACATATTTTATAATCGAGTTTCAGTTAGTCGTGCGATTTTAATAAATTTCGCCAAATTCGATAAAAATCTTGACAGCGAAACAGTCAGAAAAGTATTTAGCATATTGATGGGGTATTAATTAGCTTATTAATGACTAAATAAATAAATTTGAATACGGCTTTTGCGTCTACGTAACTTTTATTTCAAGGTCGAATTAACTATAAAGAAACCCTAAATTTATTAAAAAATGAAGAAAAAACATAAAAAGAACATTGATTTATATAATAATAATAATAAAAATGATCTTTGCTGTTATTTAGGTTGTTGTAAAAAAATAGTTCCAACGTAGAAGCCAATCGGAATTTGTATACATTTTTTTTGTATATTTAGCAACGTTGCAGCCAAAATTTAAAAGCAAAACATGGTTTTATAGTCTTTGTAGCAAATAAGATAGATTATTTAAAAAATGAATACAATCTTGAAATAATAATAAAAAATAAAAGATAAAAAAATATTCTTTTTGTAATTGAAATCCATTCAACTGAAAAATTTTCGTTCACTTAACTAAAAATTTAAATAACAGTTAGAAATCATAAGATTTTATAAATAAACTGAGCAGTTTTTAGTGAAACCGAATCAAATCAATTAAATTCACTGAAATATTTCTTGGAAAGAGAAATTTTCCTAAAAAATACAATATAAATATAATTAGTCATTTTTATGCCAAACTCTCGTATTATTTTTTTTAATTATCGATTTATTTTGTCTTGTTTCGTTTTATTTTTTTTTCTAAATCTTATGCAGTCTTGAATATTAATTTTTGTTTACGTCGAGTCTTTTTCGATGTTAGATTTATTTTTCTTTGGGTAATTTTAAATATTTGTTTTATTTGATTTCTTGATTTTTGCATCGATTGGATTATTGCAAACAAATCAAATACCGCATCGGTCGTTGTCTCCCATTCATGCGGTTATTATTCCATTCTTTTAACCAGTTCTTGTGTAAAATCTCATTACCATTGAGAAAAGTTTTAAGCGTAAAAACCGTCAAGAACACAACACTTTATTTTGAGTTTCGTTTTTTCGCCGATTCGGAAAACTTTGATTGATTAATTAATTGTAATGGGATTCGAGACAGAGGCCAATGACAGACGAATGAAATATTGATGCACCTGATTGTAAATTCACGCGAATAGATCAATGATATGTTGGCGGTCAAAGGAAATTAAGTTTGACATTGACCGCTGTCACTTGTGATAGTGAACTATAATGCATCGTTGCTCAGAAATTCTCCAAATTCGACAACTACCAAAAATTGCACTTACAGATAAAATATGCATACAGACAAAAGATTTAGTTATTTGTCGTTTACTCATAAAAACGACCATAAAGTTGTTTTGTTTTTTTTAATTTCGAATTTTAAATTTAAATCATCAGAATTCTAAAGTAACCAGCAAAAATTTTATTTCAAGAGAAAAATGAGATAAATTGGAAAATGTGTCGTAAAAAATAAGGTAATCAGCCTAATGGAAACTGTAAACAAAGTTGTTTGATTATCTGATTATGTACTTATCGATCGCTTTTTAAAACCAAAAATATTAAATTTGTCACATTATACAAAATAAAAACACATTTTTTCGTTATGTTTCAGTTATAATACAAAAAAATGGAGGGTGTTTACAAGTACTTTATTCTATTTTAATAAAACAGAAAATAAAGTACATATTTTTTTTATATTTCCATTTCAAGCAAATACTCGTGCAAATAGCAAAGAAAATTCTGGGTTGACGACATTATTGTGAAAAACATAAAATGATCAATAATTTAAAATAAAAAAAATTGCTGAGTAACTAAAAATAATTGAAATATGTGCCAGGATGTATTTGAAAATACAGTAAGATCAAGAATTGTTTTTTTTTTCTTAATTAATTTAATTAAGTTTCCCTGAGTTTTGACCTAATACTTAATGGTTAAAATCTAAAATCAAAAATTCCGGATCTTTTAGTAAAATAGTGAAAATTAGACTCAAAACAATGATATTTATAATTCTTCATGTATTGTGAATACTTTTCTCATAAAGCGGTTCTTACAAAATGAGATTTTTGTTTCTTTAATACTGATGTCACGATCTGCAACTAATCATTTTTTTTCAGAACATTTCCATATTTTTTTTAATGCTACCCATTTCGTCCCATTTGTGCCCAAATCCGAGTTAAATTCCTTAAAAACTCTTTTATAATAAAAATTTAATTGATGCAATTACGAATTTCTTTAGCGTCGAAACAAGTTTCGTGCCTTTCTGCCATAAAAGAATTCTTTAATTCTGCTAATTTGCTTAAATTCAGGTTTCTTGATTGAGTTTGCCAAATTCTCAGATGGCTGTTAACCGGAATCACACGTAACCTATTTTCCCTTAAATTCTACAAAATTTCAGAAAATCATCAAACTGAACAACAAAATTTTAACTGTTTACTTTTATAACTTTGTTTACAAACTTTTCAACAACAAAAACCGCCATTAACCGCTCTGCAGTTTTTTAATTTTCCTTGTTGGTCACTTCTAGCTAAAACCACTTAATCAAAATACTTAAAATAATGAGTTTTTAAAAAATTATGGAGTAACCAATTTATTTTCTTCGTCAATTCAAATTAGTCGTTTTCCCACACTAAACACACTTGTTAGAGTCAATTTTGTATTCGTTTATGACCAGAAAAAGTGGATTTTCAATAAAACAATTGAAAAACTTTTTTCAACTTCTCCTGAACAGTAAAACTCGCGAAATTTTTAACATAAATAGGATTTACCAAATTTAAGACAATTGTTTTAGTGGTTACAGCAACATTGTTCCTACATATGGCAGCTTCTATTCTCTTTTCACTTCAAAGTGGAATTGAAAAAAATATATTTTTTTTTAAATATTGACGACAGTTTTTGGTAAAAAAATCGTATTTTTGCCCTATCAGGTCAGGTCATATATTAATATCTTAATTAAAAAAAGAAAATACTCGTTGGAAAATATTTTGAATTAATAAATATAGCAAAGAAAATTTTGGGTTGACATTCTTATGAAAAACATAAAACAATCAATAATTTAAAATGAAGAAGTTTGCTGAGTCACTAAAAATAATTGAAAAATGTGCCAGTATGTAAAAATACAGTAAGTGTAGCTACATCAAGAAGATCAAGAAATGTTTTTTTTTCTTAATTAAGTTAATTAAGTATTCGTGAGTTTTGACCTAATAATTAATGTTCAAAATTTTGAATCAAAAATTATGAATCCTTCAGTAAAATAGTGAGAGTTAGACTTAAAACATTGATATTTATGATTCTTCATGTATTTTGAGTACTTTTCTCATAAAGCGGTTCTTACAAAATGAGATTTTAATTTTTTTAATATGTTTTTTTCAGAACATTTCCATTTTTTTTTAGTACTACCTAAATTCCTTAAAATGTCTTTTGTATTAAAAATTTAATTGTTGCAATTACGAATATTTTAGTATCGCAACAAGTTGCGTGCCTTTCTGCCATCAAAGAATTCTTTAATTCTGCTAATTTGCGTAATTTGTGTTTTTCAGATGGCTGTTAACCGGAATCACACGTTAAATCACACCTTAAATTCTACCAAATTTCAGAAAATCCTCAAACTGAACAACAAAATTTAATTGTCTACTTTTATAACTTTGTTTACTAATTTTCAACAACAAAAACCACCGTTAACCGCTTCAGGTTTTTTAATTTTTGCTTTTTGGTCACTTCTAGCTAAAACTATTTAATCAAAATACTTAAAACAATGAGGCTTTAAAAAATCATGAAGTATCCAATTTATTTTCTTCTTCAATTCAAATTAGTCGTTTTCCCACACTAAAAACACTCGTTAGGGTCAATTTTGTTTTCATTTATGACCAGAAAAAGTGGATTTTCAATAAAACAAAAAAAAATTTTTCAACTTCTGAAAAAACAACGGTTGCATAAAACCCGCGAAATTTTTAATATAAACAATATTTTTAGTGGTATCAACAACATCGTTCCTAGATATAGCAGCTTCTTTCCAATTCTCTTTTGAATGAAAGAAAAAAGATTTTTTCTAAATATTGGCGATAGTTTTTAAATTATTTTGCAATGTTTTTACTACTGATAAGCTCTGTCATGATTTTAACTATCGAATGCTTGTTTTTTCGGAACACAACAGTTGGGCCACTCTGTATAGAACAACCAAGATCGTTCCTTAGCAGCTTCCACTTGTTTTCACTCAAGATAAAATGGTTCGGTTTTGTTTGGTTTACGCACTCTTCACTCGCCCCGTATTAGGTATACCTTGTTTGACAACGATCCCTTGCGAGGGGTTGCTGGTGGAAGGTAAGGGTGCAATCTTGATTGGTGGTGGCGGCGAACTGGCTGACGTAGAACTAGCCACCGATCCCGGATCGCTGAATCCTTGCGTGTTACTATCCGTGTCGAAGAAGCTGAGGTTGAACTCCGATCCGGCATCGAAGGACACTTCCGGGGTGATTTTATCGGGGGCGGGGACGCCGCCCCCGATCGACTGTTCAATCTTAAACACATCCATGTCATCCCCGACAGGTGGTTGGGGGCGCGCACGCGTCGCGACGCATCGCCACGTGATCTAGCATCGGCACTCGAGGTTGTATAATCCCGTACTACTAATGCTCGCTGCTGGGTTCCGAGCAGGTAAGTGCCTCGGCGAGGAGGAGAGGTGGCCGGTGGTGGTTCATTGACCCACGCGGGACGAAGAGGCGGATGCCATACCGGGGCCCAAATCGTGGCGGGAATGCCGGGGGCGGTTGGAAACCATCCTGGATGCTGCTGACGCCGCGCCGCCACCAAGTACCATCCCTTAGTACCCTTGACACGTGTGCCAAGTCCAGAACCGGTTTCGAGGGTTCATTCACTTCGTAAACACAACAACAGTCATTATTCGGTTTTCAGCAGCATCCGATTTGGCGAAAATGGCAGCTGGGAAGAAGGCCAATGGCTCCGTGACGTAATTTCGATCCGAAGAGATTATTCGGAGGTAAGCGAGCACCTAGTGCCTCGACCGGTAATAGCTGGCAGCGCTGCCAGAGGCTGCTCACAAGAAAGAGGAATAACCGCGGACGTTCACCTCCGACGAGTGCCAGAGCATTCACAAAAAGAGAATCGTTCATGTGCTATCGAATCAGCAACATCACTAGGAAGCGCATTATTAGCGCGCATACAGTAATTATAAATCGTGAGAAAAACCGATTGGGGTCTTTTTCAACAGTGGTATTTATAAACCGACAACAGTTGGTAACGACAAACACTCTTATTCTTCTTATTCTTAGAGGTTGGTAAATCTCAATTGGACACAAGTGGACCACCAAAAGAAAAGAGAAAAACCTATCAGCTTTAAAATTGAAATATTTTGACCATAGACTAGTCTTTCTGGACATTCTAAAACAATGGAAGGTCTAGAAGTAGATTGAGAAGGGAGGAGTTGTTACAACAAATAGAAAAACGAAAAATAATAATTGATAATAATTGATAAAATTTTGTGATATTTAAGGCCCGTGGACCCAACATTTTAAACGTTGCAAATGGAATAAAGTTCGCACACATTTTTATACGTCCTACTAAAAGGGAGCGAGCGGCAAAGCCGCGATCCCCCTATAAATTTCGACAAAATTTGAAAGTGTAAGTTCTACTCGGGGTAATTTTGGCAAAACATTTGCGAATCAGATAATGTGAGGTCTAAAAGGGATGCGAACCGCAAAGCCGCGACAAATCTGTCGACAAAATCTGATAGTGTAAGTATTAGAGGAAACGAGCGGCATAGCCGCGAGCCCCTTATAGTTTCTACTGTCTTCACAACATTTTCGAATCCGACAGTATTTGACCACAGTTTCTATTTTACGTCCTTAAATCCTAAAACGACAGTGTTCGTCCTAAAACGACAAATAATACCTCTTTTGTCCTAAAACCATAATTTTAACATTTTTTCAATTTTTTTAAACACAAATGCTTTATTTATTTTATTTTTTAAACTTTATTTTAGGATTTTGTTGTCGCTTTTCTGCTATTTTATATTTTTTTTTCTCCGCTTTCAGTAAAGCAAGTTTCCTATTTTGAAGAATTTTCGTTGTTAGGTACAAAAGTCATACTTCCGTGTCCTGGACAAAAAACAAAATCGTCAAATTTGTATAAAGGCTTATTACAATTTAGTCGCTAGTGTGGCCATAGAAAAATCTCAAGCTATAAAAATAAGAATGTAATATTTATTATTAGTTATTTGTTTTGTACAATGCAAATTGCTTTTTGAAGAATTATTTCACCCATATAATAAGAAAACATTATTTTGTTTGTTGTTTTTTTTTTACTTACACTGTATATCTCGTGCTATACAGAATGCGCCAGAACTCGCGCCTCAGAGAAAAATGCCATGTAAGGTAAGATACCAGGGACATGGAAAAATGTTTAAAAAATTCTTTCTATAATTTTTTTTTAACTATTTGTTTTTTTTTTTCTATAGGCTATTAGAAGAGGAAACAAGAAAGCTCTATCCTAAATTGTAACTCTATTCAATGTTATTTGTGGCTTTTATAGGCAACATTTTTGTACCTTTTACTAAATAATTGTAAAAAACATATACAAGAATATCAGTATCATTAAATAGACATAAAAAATGTCAAATGTTAAAAAATAAATGTCAAATTTTTTTGACAGATAGAACTTTTTCCATGTTCCATGTTATTGGCAGATTTATTATACCTTCACTAGATAATTATAAAGAAACATATACAAGATACAAGATATCATTATATAGATATAATTATATAGATAAAAAATATCAAATGGCAAAAAATAAATGACAAAATTTTTTGATAGATAGAAAATTTTTAAACATTTTTCCATGTTTTTGGTATCTTATCTTATTTGAAATTTTTCCCTGGGGCGCGAGTTCTGACACAGCCTGTATAGCTATCGCCATTTCTGTCACTTTTTACAATATTTTTTTTCTGTATGAAAAAATGAAACCTTCCTTCAAAGTAGAGTTCAGTTCTTTTACTCAGAAACTAAAAGTTTCTGGTCAATTTTTCTTTAAAAAACGCAGTTGCGATGTTGTCAGAATGATGACAGCTATAGCGCGAGGTTTATGTTCCTGGATTGAGTTTACAAAAAGAACTTTTTTAGTTTCCGCCAAAACTGCAAAGGAATAAGATTTTTGCTCAACCTGAAACGCGCAAATCTGTAATAAAACTTTATTTTCCTATTATAATGTCCTATTTTTCTGTTTTTACTGTCTTTTTAGGACCCTTTTTCTAACGTCCTAAAATCCGGTCCCTAGTTATAACATATAAAAAAAAAACGAAAAATAATTGGTAACTGATAACAATTGATAAAATTTCGTGATATATTATGAAGGCTCAGAACCAAGTCCATGAGAGATGTTTTGAGAAAACAGATTTCAAAAAGTTGTTTAGCTCCAAGACAACATTCAATTACATTCGAAATAATTTAAAAAATCTTCAACTGAAATCGTATTTTCGGCTTCTCCCTAAAAAACACTATTTCCCAATTGCGCGAAATTCGGAAATGTTAAAACATGTGGATGAACTGTGTCCATTTGCACTTTCCCATTAGAAAAATGGTCTATGATGTCATATTTCAGATCTTGGAGGGTCAAAAAACAATCAACTTGTCCGATTTTTTCATAAATGTCTTACTAAAAAAATATGACCTGTATAAAACAACACTAATTTGGCTAATTTTGATTTTAAACTGTCTCAACTTCATACTATTCAAATTTAGATAAAACAAATCTTTTGATTTCTATTACACCACACATTTTAAAATTTCTACACAAGTATTAAGTTTTATCGCAAGCGCAAAGGTTCAAACTTTGAATTTACTGCCCCACCCGGTATAAATCCGGAACTCTTTGCTTGGAGGATGTCGACTGACATTCGATGTTTGATCATCCACGTTTATGGATGTGTGAAGAAACACTGTCTTTTTATGACGTCTCAAAATACGCATATGCACCAGACTTATGACTTGTGATAAATTAAGCGAAGGATTATCTGATAAAATATGACTCATTCAAAATTATTCAACATCATAAAATTTTCTCCGGTTGAAAGAATCAATGCCGAGAATTTCGTTCGTCAACCTTTACCCAAAACATAAAAAAACAAAATAAAATTTCGTTTCACAAAGTAACTAAAATGATGGATATTATAACAAAACAAAGACAAAGTTGTAGGGAATTAAATTAGCTGCTACAAGAAAGTTTCCAACTGCTTATTTCTTGGTTAAGCCCTCGAGTATTTCAAAGATGCACAAAGAACTTTTCAATTATCTAAATCAGCTTCATTATTAATTTGCAACTAAAAAAGAATGCTATGACTGTAAGTGAAAATCTTGAGCGGTGTTTGTTAAACAGAGATACATTAATACCAAATTGTACGTGTCAAACAAAGAAGCAAAATAACAGACGTCTCTTCCCCCAATTCAAGTTTTGACCTTTTCTTTGCGAAAAATTAGACAACAACAGGCGTTTCCGTATCCCATCAAACGGTCAATTTAAATTTTAGTCGTCGATAAAATCCAGTTTTGTGTCCATCTAATTTATTCACAAAAAATTCTAACCAAAAATTATAGACCATAGAAGCAATAAAAAGCCGGTATTTTTAATACACTTTTAATCAGACAAGCTATGATAAATTATGAATAATAATTATATTAACAAATTGCCTGAATGAGTAATAAGTCGGGCAATTACTTAATTCTACTCAATTACGTAAATATTTGAGTTATTGAATAACGTTTTGATTGTTACCAGAAGTGCAAACTTTTCACTATTCGTCCTTCCCTAGTTCCAATATTTACCCTTTAATAAACTGAATCCAATGTCCTTTTTATTTTGACCTTCGTGTCAATAATGGATAACGAACGTAATAAATTAACAAACACTGGGGTGTACCATAATACGGAATTATGATTGATTTATTTATTGAGGTCAATTTAAAAAAAAACTGAAATTTAATTAATAGAAAGTTTAGAGGGTAAAAATCTCCTAATTATTGACTAAATCCTGAAAGAATGTTTTCTCATTATTAAATTTAATGACGATGAGTTATAAACGAGATAATTGCCTGCCACTAGTGGAAACGGCAAAATTGAATTATTTTGTTTTTGTTGATCCGTTAATTGAAATTTTTTTGGCTGTGTTGGCAGCATTTATTTTTTGTCCAGTTACCAATAGAAAAATAAAAAATGCGCAAATTCCCCGGAAGATCTCAATTTTTAACTAATTTAATGTGTCGTTAAATGTTTGAGATTCTTTTCTATTAATTAATCGTAATATTTTATTGAAACAATGAGTCCCACGATGGTCTCGTTAAACATCAACGAGAGAAATTACAGCTCGCAGCCACAATTCATCATTTCGTCAGTTGTTTGTATTGTTGTTGAAAAACAAGCAAAAAAGGACCCACCTTTGTTCCTTAGTGCTATTGAAGTTGGACTGGAGGCCTCCAGGGGACTGGCAGGATTCGAAGTCGGTTCTTGTTTGACACTGAAAGGAATTGATTTGATAAATGACTGCAATAAAAAATTCCAAGTGTGTGGAAGGGTGACTGTCTTGGAAGAAATTCACAACAGTGTGCTAATAGAAATATTATTTGGAGTGGCTTTGTGAGCGAGTTGGGGGAAAAATGCTACCGGTTTTACTAACGCAAATGTTGGATGATGCTATTTGAATATCTTTCTTTGGACTCGTAAATCTACCTCGACGAAGTTTTGTACCTACAGGATGCCCCAGAGAAAAATGTCATGTTATGAACATCAGGAACATGGAAAAAAATGTTAAAAAAATT